TTCACGGAAATTTTGCACATTCTGTGAGCGGTATTGTAATTTCCGCTTATATGGATTACTCGACATGCTAACAACATTTCTTACATTGTTCTGCTGCTGATGGCATATTGTGGATAAAATATCTGCTAAATAACATGATTTCGAATTTGAGAGACAATAAATGAGAAGGCGATTTTCTAATATCGTAATCTGACAAACAATGCAGATAAAGATCTGTGCTAACAAGGAGAGGATACTTAGTCGAAAACGCCAATCCAGATGAAACGTATACCATCTTAGAGCGCTTGAAACGCTGATTCCAAATCTGCAGTTTCTAGCTGCGGAGCGTTTTGTAGAGGGAGTTATGAGAGGTGTTTCCCCTGGGGTTAAGGCGCCCTCCACTAGGTCTCCCCCTACCTATGAGCACTGTAGAGGAGTGCCAAGTGGTGGCAACTGACTTAGCGGTAAGTGACTTGCTTGATAAGGAGAGTGTCAAAATTTTAATCCCCTTCGCATGCTAAATTGAACTTTTAAATGGCTTTAAAGCCCTAAAACATGAAACTTCTGATGATACTGATACTAATCGAAGTTAGAAGTGTCAAAAAAACAAAAGTAATATGAGTATTATAATCTTTACTGTAATCTCCATCCAAGTTACTTACCATTAGGTCAGTTGCCGTCAGCTGATACTCCTCTACAATGCTTACAGATAAGGGGAGACTGCTGGAGGGCGCCTAAACCCCAGAGGGGAACACCCTGCATAACTCCTTTTACAAAACCGCTCCGCAGCTAGAAACTGCAGATTTGGAATCAGCGTTTCAAGCGCTCTAAGATGGTATATGTCTCATCTGGATTAATCCGCAACAGATAGGCGAAAAGTGCAAGCGAAGTTGCGATCTTGATGGGTTCAGCTACTTCTAATTCACTTTAGTTTACTGTAAGAATCTCTAGTGCAAAATAACTAGAATTTCGTAAAGCACTATGAGCGAAGTTTCCGGTCAGAGTTCCTCAATATTCTGACCAAATCCTGCGCCGAAGCCAAGAGTGAGGAGCGAACGCGCTACATCATTGTGTACTGCTTCTAAGAAGCTGGAAAAAATATGGGGTGTATAGGTATGAGAGAGGTGTGTGATTTTTGGGGGAATTACGGGGCAACTTTGGAGGAGTGGATTCCATGGCCTGAGCATGCATGTTTAGGGGCTAATAACTCTGCGAATATTACAGATATGGAGCTGAGGTTTGTTTTGTTGGACGGAACTCTGTATATATGATTTTTAGAAAGGAAGTCGTAGAATAACAAAATTCCATTAAAAGTGCATAACTGACAGCCAAAATTGGGAAATCTCTCAATAAGAGCGAGTTTGCGCTCTTACATCTCTACAAGTTGCTGGGTTGAAGTAATCACATGTGGTTAGTAGCATGTAGATTTGATAGTTCTATTCTTCTAAGGTAGCTTATGCCTAAAGTTTCCCTGTAGGAGACGCTATATAAAAGCCATGATGCATATTTTGAATTTGATGTCCGTGGAGAGTAGGGATGACGGTCTGGGATAGTCATGCTTCAGTTTGTATTCGAGGGGGACAGACACCACAAATTCGGAGAAAATGCAGGGTTTCCGTTTGTGGGAGCCCATCTATAAACCTTCCCGGACATTTAGTTCAGGCTCTCGCAAATTCTCACTTTTCACCATCCTCAATTTCCCCCTCTCTTTATTTCTGCAGCGCGTGTGATAGTTACCCGCGGCCATCTGGACTTGGTTAGGGGGCTGAATACGGCTAGAAAAGGGGTAAATAGGGTTAGAAGAACGCGATTTTCGCTTATTTTTCCTTATATTTCCTTAATTTTTCCTATTTTCTTCAATTTCGATCGTGGTGTGGGGTATAAAGTGGGCGGAGCTTGCTTGGAGAAGTTTCAGCTGTATAAGCACTGGAAATGAGCTTATTATGAAGCTTTTCGAATTCTTCGCTTAGTTTTTCGCTCATTTCACCGATTTCCGGAATTTCGAAACCTTCAGAATATCGATTTGTGTCGATCTTTGGGACTATACAATACCGCTCACAAAATATGTAAAATTTCCGTGAATGTCGCGAAATTCCGAAAATGGCGCGAAATTTTCGGAACTTCGCGACATTCACGGAAATTTTGCACATTTTGTGAGCGGTGTTGTAGAGGAGGTCGACATGGTGTCTCCTGGTATAGTGGTAAGTGACTTGCTTATCAAGGAGAGCGACAAGTTTTGATCCCTTCGCATGCAAGTTTACCTTATTGTAAAATTGAGCTTCTGAATGGCCTTGGAGCACTAGAGCTTGGAATTTTTGATGATATTGATACTAGTCGAAGCTAGAAATTTCTAAAAAATTAAGGTAATAATAAGTATCACAGTCAGTATTATAATCTTCATCCAGGTCACCTCTATGCCAGGTGACACTATTTTGTGCTTCTACATTGCTTGCAGAGAAGAGCCGACATTTAAAGGGCGCCTTAACCTCGGAGAAAAGCTTCCCCCACAATTCCTTCTACAAAACCGTTCAGCGGCTAAAAACTGCAGATCTGGTTTCAGCATTTCGAGTTCTTACATTAAAGTGTTTACAGTGCATCGTACGCAACTCATTTGAACCGTTCACGAATCCCAACTGCAAACTTGACTCAAAAGACAGTCCCAGTGAGTTTTTTTTTGCATACCAAAACATGGCTCCGTAGGCAAGTCGTCAAAACTGTCAGGACTTGACTGGAAAAGTGATAGTATCCAATGTACTCCTCAGGCCTCGCCCTACCAGATGATCACTTGTCCCGCTCTCTTGCAAATTATAAAAACGATGCTTGTTTCGGTTCTAAATAAGATCTTAAGCTATAGCTAACAACTTTTTTGAAACCTGACCTGCTGTGTTTTGGAGAAGGTGTGCAACAACGGTGAACACGCCATCGACTAATTTTGGCGAAATTTTGTCATATCGTGGTTTCCGAAAACGCCACGAACTTATGTAACGATATAATAGATGTACAAAAACTTAATTTTGTACTCGCGAAGCTAATGTAGAATTACTCACGTGCAGTGGCCTATCATCGTTTTGGCAAGAGCATAAAAAATCGCAATCTCTTGATTAAAAAACTGGTGTGCAAAAATTGTTAGCTCTAATTGATTAGAGTGGTGCCACAAGAAAAGCAGCGAAAATATGATCTTGCTTTCATCCCACAAATTGCTTTGGGCACATTGCGTCCATTTGGGATTTTAAAACAAGCCCAAATTTGATTCCATAACTAAGCTTTACGTTCGTTTTATACCCTGACCAATAGTTTTAGCGCTCCGGTATGGAAACTCAGATAGCTAATTTTCGAAAAGTAGGGCCTGTAGAAAGCTGAAAACTTACGTTCATACTCTTAATGGCTTGTAGTATACAACTACATGAGTGAAAACAGCATAACTCCTTTTGTAAAAACATGAAAAATTTCATTTTTTCGATTTCTAAATGAGGAAGAATTCCAGGAACGGTACATATGAATGTCTGATGTAGTGTGCATTTTGTGAGCAAGTTGGAGATTCGTAGAATTTTTTCTGAACAAAGATATGAATTTTTTCAAATATTTTGAGCATTCATTACGACTCGGATTCTAGATGCAAACTTGCAGTGGATCGAAGTTGGTGCCAACTTTGGCAAACCATTTTGTAGAGCTTGCTTTGCTCTATCGTATAGTGCCCTGGATCCCTATTGAAAATGTGAAACTAAGGGCCGCATGCACTAACATCCCTGCGGCGAGGGGAGCGGCGTCCCCAATGATGAAAAAGCCGCAGCGGCGTCCGCACGCGGTCCCTTCATAACGGGGCACGCCGCTCCCCTCGCCGCAGAAATGTTAGTGCATACGGGCCTAAGACTTATCGCCGTAAGAAATAAGAAGGTCTTAAGAATTATGTTACAACCTATGTATGTACCGAGTAGGCACTTCCATGTCTGACCCATCCGGACCAAACTTTGCACACATAAATTTCGAGGCGGGACGGATGACATAGCTCCTTTTGCTGTTGTTTGTATCGATTTTGTCAATTGTTCGCAAATTTTGAGCTACGGGCTGAGAGTTGGAAAAGGCTGTGAATTTTCGCAATGACGTGAGTGAGCATGTTGATTATGAATACAATTTTTGACCTCAGAATCATCGATCGCATTTATAAACATCGGTTTATTGCAAACTAGGAGCTGGTTCGGCTGTGTTGGTTTAAGGGGGGGGGGGAGCATGTTGATCGAACGCCATGGGGTCAAGGAGTTCATGTATAGGAGGGGACAGGGACAACGAAAATGAAGAAGTGGGACGGAAGTTTATCATAGATTATACGAGTTTACGAGTTTTATACGAGTTCATAGTTTGTAGACAGGAACGAGTAAAATTGGCTATGTTAGCTAGTAACTAATAAGATCTGCCAAGTCAGACACTGTCAACATGAGCTGTACCGACATGAAACAAATTTTAGTGTCAAAATCAGATGATACTGCTCATTCCACGCCGTGTGTTACATTCTTCAATCTTATACTCTCAACACTTATTATCATCTAGAGTCTCTTTTTTGAAATTATAAGCTAATGTTTTTTTAGGGTCCAATCGAAATTTTTGTGTTTGGTTGTCAAAAATCTGAAATTTGCGGTAAAAATCTCAGTAAGTACTATGTCGCCCACTTATTGTCGCTAGTAAAGGCTGTAGTTTCAAAATTTTCACTTCCTACTCTTTGTCATGAACTCTGCAGGTTGACATGTGTTGTAGAGAGCTATAATGTTTACCTGGGTACTATCGAAGCTAACGTAAATCACACAAGCTTCAATTACAAGCAACTACCCAAGCCGCCGTCCAAGCTAAAGAGCTGGTACTGTGCGCTCTTTTAAGCACTTGGCATCTCATTTTTATATTGCAAACAACAATGATTGTACTTATTTTTGTATATGCTTTGAATAAGTTGTTGTTTACTTTTTGTCTAGTGGGTTTGTTAAATCTGACTGAACTTTGGTTGTGAGAATATACCCCCAATGATCTTACAGATGTTCTGGATAACTGTTTTCATGCGGGCGATCGCCAAATGTACAAACTCCCACAATAAAGTGTTTCACTACTTTCTAGTTTTTGTAGGTGACATTTTTTTGGCATTAAGAATTCAAAACCAACAGCTCTGTTCCAGTTTCTAGCTATCCCTGCAATCACTGCCGAATTAGAGGTTCCGAGAGTACGTTGCAATAAATGGCATTGGTATACTGGGCTTTACTATGAAACGGAGATAGAGGTGTGGAAGAAAGCAATTGAGAGTCATTGCCATGCGGAACTGAACGGTTTGACAATGGTTGGTCACACATTTACACCTGTCAAGCTCATATCTGTACAGATCAGTTTGTGTTATGAAATGTTCTATGTTGATTTGAATCTACATAGCAAGAGATCAACTAAGCACACAAAAGAGTCTATACTACTGAGTGATTTCAACTGGTCTTTCCAGCAATATAATTGTTATATAGAAGGAGGTGCAGACAGATGTGCAAGAAGGTTGGGAACATATGCTAATGAGATCGATCATAACATGTTTGCTGTTACTCTCAATGGGTGAGTTGTAACAAAAGTCCTTTTGTACACGTAAGCCAAATCTGTTCTTTTGTTTAGCGACTTCTATTATCAAAAAAGCGAAGTGGTAGCTAATGAGGTCATTCAAAAGCTCAAAGATAGGGGACTGTGCGAAGTAAGTTTAGCAGCCGAATTCAACAAAAAACTTATTATGTTACCGTTTGCAAACCCAGTAGGTAAGATCGGTGTGTTACGCTGGTTCGTTAACCCAGTATCTCAGTAGTGTGCTCACTGATGTTTACTCAAACCATACTCTGTTCTCTTTGCAGTGCATGTGTTTTGAATGAATGACGCGCGTATTACCCCATTTTCGCTCTAAATTGCCATCATTGAGTAAACAAATAGCAGTTTACAAGTGGCGGACAAAGAGAAAGCGTATAATACGTTGCTTAATATTGCATATTAAGCAACGCTTAGTGTCGCTCGTATAAGAAATGTATAACTAAACTGCAGAATTTAATCTCCATTCACTGGTCTTGCACGCGAATGCTTAATTCAAGACAAGTAGCTATTATCCGCACATGATCTATTTAATGACAGTACAATAAATTCATATTCTTTTTTAGAAAATACAAAGCAAGAATAGGACGGATTTTGGATGCGCATCTACATGGTTTACATTCTACTATAATAATCGCTGGCAGAAACATTACAAGATGTACTACATCTGTGGAGTGGACCACCCCAGAAGAGTGAAAGAATTTGTGGAATTCTATGATTAATCTAAAGTTGATGTATGCTATTCTTAAAGCACTTCTACAATTAGTCTGCACTATATGCTTTTTGAATAAAGGTGTACGTTATACGCTAACCCAAAAATGTTCCATAAGTTTCACTTGTATCAGCCTCAGTTTCTCTCTTTTCCTTCGAAAAATTCAAATTTCTAAAGTGCAAATTTTCGACATTTCTTCTGAAGTAAGCCCAAAATGTATGCATCGAAGTTTCCATGAAACAGTCGGGGTTAAGAAAAAAGTTGGCGCGATTTCACCATTAATGGAATGAGGAAGCAAACCAGCAGCTACATAGGCGGTCTATGCAAATATTCTATAACATTATAACCTGTGTCTTTTTTTAGTTGTGTGGTTTCTTGTTTTCTAATGTTGAGGGTTCTTGAACTATATCATGAAAACAATAGCATTCAAAGCGAGATACAGGAAACATGCTATTCATTAGAATGCATTTTCATGAAAGATGAATTTTCGGATCAAGATAGCATTTTCTAGAAAAGTGAGAAAACAATTGCAGACAATGCTATATGTTATCATGAGGCTGCGAAATATCGAGACTTAGCTAGTACGTAGTTTTTAAAGTACTGAGGTTGCTTTGAAAGGAATGGCGTGCAAGAGGAACGATAGCTGCTGAGTGTCAATAACCAGCGCATCTCTTACCGACTTTTCTAACCATCCATACTTAAAGATTTAGAGCATCCTTGCTTTGAGCTTTTAATTAGGGGAGTTGAATTGATTTCATTAGGTTGGAAATAAGTTGCGATACGTTGAAATCAGTGAGAAACTGGTAAAAGGTAACATCACCAAATTGCACATATCATCGGGCTCCGAGCAAAACTTATTCAGTACAGCATTTGTTTTAATTCGTTGACGAGAGCCAATTTGGGCGCAAGTTCTTATCAACTTCCATTATCGTTTCTTGCGTATTCCCTTGCATACGTTTGCACAAATTCATTGTGTGGGAGTTTTTTAGACATTTATTCATGAAACATGCGAAGTTTACATAGAATTACATGTATGTCACATAGTTTCCCACGAATTAATAAAGAAATTTTTTGCATCGCTTTTCCCTCTAAAACCATCCAACGGCTGTATCTGAAGATTCCCCTTTGAGAAAAGCGTTTTGTTATTTAGTGTTTTTTGCAATATGATTTCTCGCCAAACGACTATACAGAGTTTTGCCTTTTCAGAAAACATAAACACATATACCACATCAGAAATGGACTGAATACCGAAATTTAAGGTCAAAACTTATGAACGCCTATCGCGATGCCCTGTGTTCTATAGGACAAACAGGCCACCAGTATTATTACTGCACTAGAAGTTCCCTCATACTTTTCATTCACGCCTAAAAATGGCATGCATACGCGCGTATGCACGAATATGCTGGGCGTGCACATGCGCCATATACACGTAGCGGCATGGTTCCTCCTGAATTACACCCTTTTAGACCCATTTTTATGAATTTTATAGTCTTGGAAAAAAGCATTTATTTGAGGACATTGTTTGTATCTTTCAAGGCTCTTTTTCCTCCAATTTTCTAGGTGAGCCTAGCCTAAAAGACTCCGTTCATGCTAGGAACAAGCGAGCACTTGTGGAGATCTTTCTCTTTGCTTTATTTTCATGAATTTCATAGATAGGACGAAATCCTCCATCTTTTGTCCTAACACATTCTCCATTCTAAAAATTGTGAAGTTTTCCCAGTTTCCTGAAAAATAAAAATCAAAAGCGTTTTATCAACTTTGGGGAATGTGTATTGCCTAAATCTCAATCTCATTTCTGTGCTTGTTTCCTGTGTGGAAAAGTGGAGAAAGTTCGAAGCTATAGCACTGCTCAGCCGACAACTGGCTACACAATGAGCGGTTCCTGCAATCCTTCGCAACTCGGCTAAGTTATAGCTCTATATTAACCTCCATTCATCTCAGTTGACCTGAGACCAATTTAGAACTTCCTAGGCTAAACCTAAGGCCGCCAACCTTCCCGTGCTTCATGATAGTCAGTTGTACAGTCAGAAGACTGCCCGGCTATGTGCTACTTTCTCAACGGAATGCCATCTAGCCGAGAGCAAGTTTTAGGGTGAACCGAGGGAGATAGTGTGCAAAAAAAGATAATCAGACGAAATTCAAGTAAGCTGCTCGTGACTAACTACGGGAAAATTCAGTTGACGTTTGTTGCGGTGCATAACTCAAAAATCTGCACAATTTCGCGGCCAAGAGAGCGAGATCGAAACAGCTGATTGCGGAGTGGAAAAAGGAGAAAATTTTTTTCTTTTCTTGTACAATATGCTTATTCTTTGGAAGCTACGTGAAACAAATAATTGATTTATTTTATTCACTCCGTTTGTGTCCCAAGTTCCTCAGTTTTTTATGATATCCTCGTCAAGATGTCGTAGTTTTGTTGCATTCATTTATTTACTAGGCGGTATCCTTGATAGCGGTCTATTTTTTCGATAGTGGTAGATAGCTACCAAAGATTGTCCGGCAATGGCGCAAAAATATTTCATTATTGAGAGCGCTAAAGACTTCTATGTTTAGATAATCCGCATCCAGATTGATAGGTTACTGGATGCCGGGAGGCGTTCGATTCAACGTAGTTCCGCCCTCAGCCGAGTTGCGCTGAACAGGGTTTACTACGCGCCATAATCTCTCAAAGCAAGGGTTCGCAAAAATGTTTGGCCATCCGCGGATTAGAAATTTTTTTCGCGGTTGTTGAAACAGATTTTGAATATGCATAGCATCATCAAGATTTCAGGCCGTAAAAATTACAATAGGGTGTCCCAAAATGATGTATCAAAGGCTTGATCTGAACGGACGATAGACGCAGAAATGTTGCGGACAGACGACGTTAAGTGTCACTTGGTGTCACGTCTTTGTATAACAAGCTACTGTGCACACGATGATAAGAGAAATGATCACTTGTCATTGAGAACGTCTTGTCATTCATACTTGATTGTTCATAGAAATAAAGCGATCAGGTCTAGTTTTTGGTGCTGATAGAGAGCATTACGCAATTGCACTAACATCTGAATATTGATACCTTAATATCAGCATTGCTAACAATAACATAAGCATGAAAATTTTGCCAGAAAAGGACCTACAGCTTTGTTCAGAATAAAGCCTCGCAGCTAAAGACAAGCGTTTCAAGCTTGTTCTGATTAAATGTATTGTTCATCAAAAGGTCAACCTAAGATAGATCGCTCCCGAGCATAGGTGCGATAGTGTGAGAATTTCTTCCCCCCCCCCCCTCCCCCTTCACCCCTGAACCGGACCAAGGTGACCCCCTTCACCAAAAGCCCAGAAAAAAATCATCAGTGAGGTAAGGTTAAGCAGAGGAGATCTTACGGGAATTGTTTGTGTAAAGGATGAAGAAGACATATACGCATTCTCGAACTTCCAGGAGGAAAAAAACAGTAGCTTCTGTAGCTGCACAGCAACGTCAGCGAGGAAACTTCTCGTGGTACAACGTTCCCCTCTGAGTTTCAGGAAATGAATAGTTTGCCTAGAGTCCGTTCATAGAAGTACCTAGTGAAAGGTGTGCCTAGTGATTTCTGCACACTCACGGGTTCAACATTTGAAAAAAAAATTAATAGATTTTGTAGATGAATAGCTGGTACAAAGAAATAGTGACCATCGAACCGCCTCGTCCTCCGTTTTCAGAATATATAGCATGTCTGAGATCCGTCCAAAAAAGGGCCTGAGTGTAGGGAGTGCTTAGTGATTTCTGGAGATTTTTGGGTTTTCAACATAAAAAAATTCATTACTTTCGTAGATGAACATCTTGTACGTCGAGATGACCACCATTGAAACCGCCTCGTTCTCTGCTTTCAGAATATATATACCTTTTCTAGGGTCCCTCAAAAAGTTGCCTGGTGAAGGGTGTCCTATAAGTTCTCATGTGGAGGCCAGGACTTTTGTAATGGACCTCAGGCAAAGTGCATATTTTCTGAGAGCGGAGGAAAGGCGGTTCCGATGGTGACCATCTTGGCGTACAAGATTTTCATCTACAGAAGTTATGGATTTTTTGATCTAAAAGTTCGTAAATATCCGGAAAGCACTACCCACCTTCACCAGGCACTTTTTTTAATACGTTGACGACAGCGTGCATTTTTAGCTGTCTGCCTTGTGGGACAGTCCCTTCTACAGCAAGTTGAGTATTTTTAGCTGAAATTAAGCAGGCCGTCGTCTACAGTATCCCTACAATGATTTTGAGAAGCAGCTAAGAAACGCGGAATTAATTCCTAGGAATAAAGCATAACAAAACTTCTACAACCACAGTCATTGCATGACCCACCATGTGGGTCACATTGTCGTCAATGTGTTAAAAGAACCCCAAACAAGCAATATAAATTCTGAAAGCTGAAGAAAAGATGGTTCTGAAAACAATTTCCTTGCTGAAGTTGCTGTTCACCTACAAAATCATAAATTTTTTCTTTTAAAAATTCGTATATGCTTAAAAATTGTTTACCTCTTTTCCAAACAGATGCTCTCGCATACATAACTTCTATGGTACTTTTAAAAGCATACAGAGTGATTTCAATCCTACTTCAGTCTTCACATTTTAGAAAAAAGACAACCAATGATGGCAGAGAATTTAAAATGGTAAACTTTGATTTGGAAAAAAAATAATGAGAGAGCACATCACTCCTCCTTTCTCCTCTCCCCCCCCCCCCTCCCCGTCGACATTTTATGATTTCTCGATGAATGAAACACCCTTCACCCGGAGCGGCTGCAACCGCTGTGTCCCCCTTTCACCCTGGAGGGGTCATTTTCACCTTACCGCACCTTTGCACGCGAGTGTTTTGAAAACTGCCAATTGCGACTTTAATAGGGTGGGGGACATCAGGTCGCCGAATTTGGAAGAGTCCCGCGCGGATTCCCTGCAGGAACGCACGTCCGCGCATGTACAAGGGTACGTATTTGTCGCAAATGACCGCGGAACCGTCCTTTTTCGGCTAATGTCCGCCACCCACTTCAATACGCTCGTGAACACGTGCAAAAGTTCACATCACAAGACAATTTGCGTCCCAGAACCAACTTTTTTGTATGATTCTCGTGGATACGAAGCTTCTCGACAATATAACCATCTACGCTTGTAGCGTTGAGTTTTCGAGGAAATCTCAAACCTTATGTAAGGTCAGGGGCAAGCTGCTTCCCGCGATTATAGCCTCTACCACAGTACAAAGATGTCAGGAGGACATTCCTGGAATGACGTGTTAAAACTTGGGAGACGAAAAAAGAGAAAACAGCTGCATTGCGAGCAGAGTCGCATTTGATGGTCATATAGACCTCAAAAAATGTGGTCTAAAAGCGTTTCTTTCTGTGCAAAAATTGCATGGTTATCGACTTGCTGATACTACGGCACTTAGATGGTAATGCAATTGCGCAATGCTCTCAATAAGCACCAAAAGACTTGACTGGTACTGTTTTGATATCTCAGAAAATCTCTCAATCAGATTTCTATCTACATACTGCGTCCCTTGAGTTATGGGTTGGCGCGCAATGAGAAGCTCATAACTCTTATCAGAATTATGCCTCGCAGTTAGGGACAACAAATTTGAATTCAGCGTTCCAAGATAATTTCAAAAGTGATCGTCGTTTTCAAACGGCTTACTTAACGTGAGTGTCTTCTCTTTGTGTGCTTTGTCGCGATCAGATGGTTGCAATAATATCGTCGAACAAAGTTCACACGCACATGGTGCGAAGATCTGCTCAATGGTTCCTTCTTGACAAATCTCGTTTTTTCGCACCATGATTGCTTATTTAGACACTTAGATGGCCCGTCTTAACCTAACGTGCAGATTCCAGTAGAAGTTTCCATTCGTCCGTCTCTTTGGAAGTCATCTACTGCCAAATGAGATGGTCAGAGGGTAATGAAAAATACATAAACTCATCGTCAAAGTCGCCGCACTCCGGCGGAGTGCGCCAGAGCGCGCTGAAATCCGCGTCGCATTGCTATATCCACTTTAGAGTAGATAAATTTTGAATCCAGAGACACCGTTCGACTCAGCTTACTGAGGCGGATCTTTTGGTATATAGAAGTACCGCAGTCTTCTGGAGTACGGTGAGTATGTGGTAGGCAGTAAGATTTCACCAATTTCTTTAGGTTTTTGCTTAGATGGGTTACTCATTGTGCTGGATCCAACATTTGCATCAATTTGTTGTAAGTAGTGAATGTAGTCTACTCTGGGAGTACAGTAAGGAGTTTTTTTTTTGCTCAAACGTGCACGTGAAAGCAATCATAACCATACCGTTTCGAGCACAAATAATTTGACCTTACATCGTAGGTAATCCTGGCACTGTGTCTTAAAGGCAGTGTCTCACCAAAGGAGGTTGAGCGGATCTTCGAATATTCTATTATAGGGAGCTCTAAATAGGCCATTGCAACAAGTCCCACTCAATTTGACCCCCTCCACGCTGAGAAAAATTCGCTCAAAGTGGTACGCGGAGAGCGAGTTGGTACGCGCGGACGACTCCTTCGGTCTCCCCCCTTAAACATGTCTCTCCACTTGGCATCCACCTCCCCTCTGTTGCTGCCACTGTGGCTGAGGCTGAAGTTGGAAGGTACAACTCGTCCACGTTGCTTCCGCGGGGTCTTCAGAAAACGGGGTTTTTGGGAACTTCGTGCGATTTTAAGCCCATACAGTGCTAGACAGGGTCCGACAGGCTTGCAAAATGCAAAAATCTTGGCAACAAAATTTTGGTGAGACAATGCCTTTAAGCGGCCAATGAATGTAATAATCGCAATCAGCGCACAGATAAAAGCGTGAGCAGATTAAATGTTGTTTTCAATACAATAAGTAACCCATCTAAGCAGAAACCTGGAGAAATGTAAAAATTTACTGCCTACAGTATACCTACCGTACCCTGACAAACTGCGGTAATTCTCTATACCAGAAGTGCGCCTCAGAGAGGCGAGCTGGGTCGAACGGTGTCTTTGGATTCGGAATTATTTCGGAATTCTCCATTTTGAAGTGAGATATGACAATGCGGTGCGGATTCCGGCGCACTTTAGGGATGTGCGGCGCACTATGTTGCTCTTCGCCATACTTCAGCGCGCTCCGGCGCACTGCAGCGCACTATAGCGCACTACGCCGGAGTACGGCAATTTTTTTGACGAAATACGAACGGCATTGTTAATGGGCTTGTTGCGTAATCCTTGTAGCAGTTGGCCTCACGTAGCTATGTCTCGTGCAACGTTTGACTTTCTCACCACAGCTGCCAGGGGGTCCCATCCACGGTCAAGATTGTCGATTCAACGTGGGATCCTCTCCTACACGCTTTTTCCTCTTGGAGACACCCATTCGTACGATTGCAGCCAACTCTCTTCCCCCTCCCCCTCACAATTTCCCCGCTTTTGCGGTATCCTTTAACAAACGTTAGATTACTTCGAAGGATACCAGTGGACCATTCTTGGAAATCATACTTCAGAGGAAAAGAAATCCTTTTTGGGAGATAATGCACGTAACGCTTGTTTGTTCAAAAACCTCCCAATATAAATTTTCATGGTTTGGATAAGTAGGCAATTCTGCAAAGATTAAGCTGTCTGTAATACGGTCGCAGAAAATGCGACCATTTTGAGAAGTACGACATCAATTTTAGTCTGATACTGACATCTGATGTTTAACCTGCCTAGACGCTAAATTATGAACAATTACTGAACTAAAATAAGGACCAAGAAAGGCTCGGGAATTTTTACTTCAACCATTACAGTTGATTATTTTGTAATATGTTTTTTTCTAATGGCATAAGAAATCCTTCTGCGACCATGAGCGTTTGGCATAACTCATTCATGTTTTGGTGGATGTACTGAAAGACATTTCCCATAGTTCTGAAAATAACATTGCTTTACACTATTATGATAGTCTTGGGTTTGACCCAGGGCCCGATACGAGTCAGTTTCTAAGGTTTCTGAAGAGGAAGTCTTCCTGACTTTGGAAGTTTTACGAAGTCCCCTTTGACCTACCTGCTCAGGAAAAGATGAAATCAAGAAAGATTTACTAGTGTGAAAGAAAAAACGTGAGATTAAAGTGAAAATCGAAATTCGAGTTGAATATTATGCATGCGCAAGGGTTTGGCATTGAAGTGCGATATTTGACCAAGCGAAATAAAGAGACTGAGGCAAAAAACAAAGGAAAGGCAATTATATGAAAATTTCTCATGCTCAGAGACAGATTTTTGACCGGAGAATCCGCTCATAATAGAAAAATCCGAAACTTATCTGAAGTGATAGAAATATATTCCTCATACAATCTCAGATCGTCTGGTGACCGTCTGAAGACGGACTAATTTTGGAAAAAGTATTGCTTCACATGAGCTTTCAAATCTTTTTGCGTAATTCTTTTGCAAATAATTATATATGTATACAGTTCGATTTTGGTGTCGTATGCTTCTGTGTGCTTGTAAACAAGCATTTTGTTTACTTTAGCCTTGCTTTTAAATCGCGCGCACTTTTCGCCATACACGATAGAGCCTGTCAATCGTGTGATAACCTGTCCAAAACCCTGTGTTCGACTAAATGGCACTTATTCTTGGTGCTCGGTTCCGACCGGGGTAAAGCGGGGGTGCGGCACACGACCGTCGGATACGACCCCCCCCCCCCCCCCTCCCTTGGGCCGGACCTCGGCATGACCCCCCTCCCATTCCCTACCCCCCCCCCCAAATCAGCAAAACGAGCTACCGGCTTTTCAAAGACGATTGGTCCACATCCCTATGTGAATTTGAAAGAACATAATGCATAGCAGACAAATCACTGACGCAGACAGTCGCGATAGTTAAATGGTACTGAACAACTTAGACCAAGCTATTTCCAATCGCTTTATTTCTTAGTTCTGTAACCGATTAATTCTACAAGTAGGCATGGATTTACACTAACTCCAGCAAGAACAATTTTCAGTATAAAAGACCAGTTCGCGAAGCGCCGCAACTTGGATGCATCTAATAGTAAATCTCCGTGCATGACTAGTGAGCTAGCATAGTGATTTGGAGGCACACAGGTCTATGATTGCCTAGAATAGCAGGATTAAGCGACACATGAGACAAGAGAAATTCAAACGCACATCAGGCTTATGATGGAGACAACGGAGAAGGATAGGGGGAATGAATAAAGAATGTAAAATTCCGTTTAATGGTGAGCTGACCACAACCACCTGGAAAACGAACATGACAGAAAAATCTTTACACAGTATTGGAGAAATGAAAACTCGCGTCAAAGAAAGATACATGCTAGTTGACTATGTGAATAATAACCACCCGACCAATGCATGCCTAGCTTCATTATAGGCTACAACTTCACGCTCTTCTTCGACTAACGAACGTGACCTCTTTTCAGCACCTGCAATCAGAAAATATTGGAAATTTACGACGGAGCAGAAGTAAACAAACCTGCTAGAACCCGATCCATTGCGTACTCAAGCTCTTTCACAGAGATTACATGCTTTCCTGTGGAGGCAGCTCGTATAGCAGCTTCGTTGACGACATTAGCAATATCAGCGCCTGTAAAAGATACGAGTTTCGAAGGTTTTTTAAGTAACAATGGACAGCCGACTGAATGGAAAGAGAGTGATGGAGCAAGTGTCAAGCAGAGAGATGAACGGGTTTTACAATGTTTAGCTCTTACGTTGGTGAAGTTTTGCAAAAGCGCTCCAATCGGCACATTAGCGAACAGTTTGATACTTGGAATAATTGAATGGACATAATAGAGAAACACTTTACTAATCACTATCCATCTCCAAAGACAAACCGAGAATGGCATGGTAATTATCGGTGGAAAGAGAGTTATTTGGAAACATACCAGTAAAACCCGGCGTCATCTAGGCTAGACGATAAGAAAATTTGTTGTAAGGATGGTCAAGTTTGATCTTCTTCAGGTACAGATCAAACATTTCTTTTCGCTCAATGACTTTAGGCAAATCTATACTTATGTGAAGGTCAAATCGACCAGGTGTAGTAAAGCCTATAAAATTCCAAATTAAACTTCCAGATGGGCAGGAAATGGAACTTACTTTGTCCAAAATATCCGGGCGATTAGTTCTCAAGAACAACAATACCCTGGCCACTTCCCTCCATCCATTTCAACCAGAAGCTGGTTCAGCGTTTGTTCTTCTTCTTTTGAGCCACCTGAAAAGGAACGCTACAGCCGAAAAGCCATCACTAAGAGCAAGGAACAGAAAAATATTGATGCAAGAAAGTAAAGCAATGAATTGGGACTTCTTACCGCCAAATTCGCCTGCTTTTGATTCGTTTCTCTTCTTTCCTATGGCGTCTATTTCATCAATGTAGATTATACATGGCGCTCTAGAGCGCGCTTCCTTGAACAGCCCACGAATGCACGATGCACCAAGACCTGAACTCTTTCTTCAACAAATCGCAAGAATCAGATCAAACGAGTTGTATGCCTATATAGCGACGCAGATGGATTCTGCGTGCCGAAGTGAGCCAAGCGCGTATGGTCAAGAAAATAGGACATGCTTTACATCACTTTGAAGTAACTCAAATGAAGGTAACCACAAGTTAAACTTGATAATTATGCAAGTAGGGAACGTTGTGAAGCCGTGTACTGTAAAAAAAACTCTAAAAAATCTCCTAATTGTAAGGAAAACACACATAACGCCAATAACTTCCACAAACTCGGACCCGTTCATTGAGATAAATGGTGCTCTCGATTCAGCTGCCAAAGTTTTCGCAATGAGAGTCTTTCCACATCCAGGAGGACCGGTGAGCAATGCACCAGAGGTAGCTTCGCACCCAATTTCTAAAAACGAAACCGACACCTAAAATCGGATTCTGCATAACTTCTCATTTACCGTATATTTGTTCGGGTTTTTGAGATAGTCAACGAATTCACTGATTTCTTGTTTGGCTTCAAAGCAACTAGCAACATCCTATATGATGGCAATGAATGATAGCATTATGAACAGAAAGCTGAAATTCTTGAACAAGTAATCGATGCTGTACCTTGAACTTGATTCTGAGTTGCTTTGATAGAGAAAAGAGAAAAAGCTGTAAGCGCCATTCCATTTTTGGGAGGAATCAAGAACCAGACTGTAGATTTGTCGTCCCTTTTGCCTAAAAGGTCTCGGTGTCTGAAAGAAAGGCCTCGTATAAGGAAACCGACGAAAAGAAGTACAAATTCAAAAACAATGGAAGGCATCCAAATTATTTAGCTTGCCGCCTTTCTGCATCGTTTACGCATTAACGCAGAAAGGCGGCAATGAATTTGCGTGCTACCGTAATCCGATATTTTCGAAGCCGCGCGATGGATGGTAGTTAGTAGAAAAAGCGCTATATCTCATTCTTTGCGGGAAAGTTTTGGATGAAAATCGTACTATAGAGAGAAGAAGGTTGAGCGGTAGCGACGACATTAACATCGTAGACATTCAACAGCTTTAAGGGTAAGTTAATGGGGTGCGGCCCCCCCCCCCTTAAAAGCTGCGGCAGCCGCAGCTTTTGAGGGGGGGGGGGTGCCACACCCCATTAACTATATCAAAAAGACATTTTTAGTGAACATTATTTATATTAATCGATAGCCTAAACCTCGTAGATTCCATAGGAATGTTTTGAGCCTGATTCGTCTTCTTAGCTCTGAGTAATATTTGGTGAAAGCACAGCCATCAAAAGCGAAGAATGGGAAAAATGAAATTTTGATTGGTTTCTAATTTCACAGTTTGGAGGTCTTTTGAAGCGAGATTTCTGAGATGAACAAAGAAGGAGTAGTGCTTTGTTTTGAGTGCAAAAACGGACAGCTAATTCACTTTAGAAACAAAGTTGATTATGTTCGAAAATGATCATTTCACTTGAGTGACCCAATACTTGGAAACCTCAGAATTCGCTGAAACTAGGTCCATAGGGGTTATTTGACATGCTAAATACGAAAATGACCCTGACGTTTCAATACGACCCCCCAGGTGTGGCGTGCCGCACCCCCCGCTTTACCCTGGTTCCGACTCGTCAAAAACGATATCCCCCTTGCTTCAAAAACGAAGTCTAGTCTGCTTCCATACGATCTGTGCCAGGCCCGATTTGACCATCTGTGACATCATTTATTGCAGAAAGAAAAATGTTTTTAAAATCATTTCTAATTATTTTTTCAATTTTTTTGCTATTTTAGAAGCCTTTCAAAAGCTTGAAAATTTTTTGCTACTAAAAAACTCATGTCTTACTTTCTGCACAAATTCTCTGCAACAAAATCATTATAGCGCCTTCCCGAGCGATGTCAAAAACGTGCACTTACTTAAATCAAAAAAAAGCTGAGAGGCCGCAATGAGGAGGTTGTGTAGTAGAGTGCCCAGACAACTGAACAAAAAGCTGCAGCCGTTTAGGAACAGCTACTCTGTCTAGAAATTAAAATGCCAGACTCTAGCAATTTTAGCAATAAATAAGATCCTAAAAACCAAACACTGTGATTTGAGCTCAAAATTTCGTATCTCATTGAAGACGCAGCAATCCTTCTAGACTTCGTTTCCCCTGCAGAGCGATGACGTGTTACTTGACCTGCTCTGCACAGAAAATAAGAGCGTGGACGTCGATTTTGGTGTATACTCTCCTGGCGTCGTAGGTGCAGAGCATAAGGTAGTCTCCATGGCGTGTCTTGTCGTGTTGTTTTTTTTTTCGATCAAAAAGCGCTTCGAGCATAGTGGCACCAGCGTTATCGCCCGACGCCGTAGGTGGGATCCGATGTGCAGGCCTAAGGCCTAAGGCATACCTCGCGCGATTCCGGTTGCTGCGCGACTTGGCACAACAGCGACTCTTCGTACATAATTCGTCGTAAATGTCTTTGGTAAGAACTTGCTCCATTTGCAACAACTTACACAAGCTACCCAAATATGCATCCGAGAAGAGCGCACAATAAATTTGTAGAAATCTGGCAAATCGCCACGTCGCATGAAAGTGGGGATTCGGTCGAATCGCGTGAGGTATGCCTTAGGCTTAAGACATACCTCCCTCACCATTTCGTCATATCGCTGAATCTGAGTTACTCGGCATACGACAATTGTCTAAAGGTCAACCGTGTGCGACTTTTAAATGCATCATCAGCGCGTAACTTCCGTGAGTTGTCACAAATGCATCAAGTTTTGCTCAAGCAAAGCCTGCTTACAATCAGATATGTCAAATCGGGTGTGGTTTGGGTTAGGCCTGAAGGCAGACGGCGAAGGACCTGGCACAGTCAGCTTAGCCAATCTGTGTCTTCGAATGTATTTTTTCTATGTTTCTCGAATCTAATACTTTTCTTGTACCATCATTAAGTATCGATTTGTGCTTAAGTGAAGTTTTTATAATCTTTCGAAAGTTACCACAGATTTATATTAGGCACCATCGAAAAAACGAAATATTTCTTGTAAAATTTCGTGCTCTCTACTGTACTACATCAAAATTCAAGCTCAACTGTGACGTTATATATTGCATCGCAGATCGGCTGTTTTTGACTATATGTTACCATTACACATGCGGACTAGATGTTATGAGCATTACCACTACTCGTATGTCGTTTTACTCGTGGACCAGATCCAGTCATTGTGCGGCTGCGTTGCGTCATCGGCTGCCTACCAGTTGCTATGTTGTTCCGAAATGTTACGCAGGACGCCACGTACCTATTCTAGCACATATACTAGTATAAAAAAGGGTCTTGCATTTTTCTTAGGAAATTTCTCTTTTTACAAAGATATATTGAGTTGATGCAAAAATAATGGCCGATTTTCCAGGTCTTTTTTCAGGCCAATTTTTTTCCATCAAAGTTTTTCCTTTCGAACAGGTATAGCATACTGAGAAGCTGCTCTCCTGCTTATATAATGCTGGTTGAGGCGGGCTTTCACTCTCATCTGTGAAGTTACTGAGCTACAAATAACAGCATCCAAACTGAAAACTACGTTGCATTCACTTTTCTGGCCGGAATTTTTCAAAATAGCGCCTATGGATGGCGCTATTTTGAGCTATTGTATGCCATAGAAATGTCTACATCATGCACACTTGATTGTATTTTTTGAAGCTATCCAGACTGAGATATCGGCTTCTCAACAGTCTGGGTAGTCGTTGCGGTTATTTTATAATCCACTAGCTTGCTTACCCGGCTCCGCCCGATTCAGTGAAAACTATGATAAGGTTGGTTCCATCCTTATCCGTGCAGAATCCTTCCCTGTGCACTTCTCCATGCAAATTCCCTATCCCCGTTTTCTCAGCATGCTCACCTACCTCCTATGCCAACTCCCAGCCCTCTATGTTAAACTTTGCAAAAAATTGATAAAATCGATAAAAGTAATGGATGAATCCAAAAACTAATACTGCATTCGTAATCCCCATGCTCGATTACCCCCCTGTGCAAACTCCCAGCCCCGTAGCTCAAACTTTTTAGAAAAATTGATAAAAGTAATGGTTGATGTTGAAAACTAATATTGTATTCGTAATCCCCATGGCGACACAATCTCGCCGAAGCTGTTCACCGCGGCCTTGCAGTGGGTGATGAAGTCACTGGACTGGGACGAGAGAGGCATACGAGTTGATGGAAGATTCCTGTCCAACCTTCGTTTTGCGGACGACATCGTTCTCTTCTCGAGCAGTACACTGAAGCAGAGACGATGCTGAAGGAACTGAACGAAGTAGAGAAGAAGATCGGACTGCGAATAAATCGGAAGAAGACTCAGTTCATGAGAAACGCCCTTTGCGAAGATGCAGAAATGAAATTGGAAGGCACCCCTATCACGGAGACGTCTTCTTACGTGTATCTGGGACGTTGGATGAACATGGAGAACGACTTGAGGGAAGAACTTAACAGGAGAAGAAGAGCAGCCTGGGCCGCCTTCGGGCCTCTGAAGAAAGC